TTACAGTACAATGATAACATCAGAGTTAAAATACAGTATATCAACTATCACATTTTTTATTGTCTAACTCGTAGGTCTCAATCTCATATACCTAATCACATTAATTGTCTCAAAGACTTATTATCATGAATTAAACTTCTGAAGATTTATAATGTAAATATAGACATTTTATATTCAAAGATCTGTTGGTCAAACATTTCTTTTTGGACTTCCCGTTGAAGATGTAGCTGGGCTGTATTGTATCCTAGGTCCATTTCATCATCTGCTGCCTTGTTCTGGAAGTATCTAGAGCAGAGAAAGAGACAGAGAGCTTTGCTTAGCTACTGCTGATGACGCCTCTGCAAGGAAGTTAGCATTTTGCTGCTGTTTAAAAACAGGCTGTGCACAGCTGTCTGGTTGAGCACGGCCAAAAGTGAGTTGGGTGGGATAAACTCAGCTCAAACAGGCCATAGCTTTTTATTTAATGTGCTTGGATATTCAGAATGTTTTCAAAGAGTGTCCAACTGTCTAAATTTTATTGATCAGGCACAAATAGCAATTGGTTTGTGACACAAAAGATTCCTCTGGTTGCAGAAAGAATATATTAGGTGCAATTATTTTCTTTATTGACTTGACTCTGTCTGCCTGGCGAGAAAGTTCTTATTTAGACTGCTTGCAGTAACATGGTTTTTAAAGTCAGATTGCCAAGTTAGATGGAGAGAGAAAAGATGAGTGATCCAGTGGGCAAGAAAGCAAAGAAATGAATTTTTCACTATTAATTAAAGCAGGAAATGGCAGCTGCTGATTGGTTATGATGCAATCTTGATCTTTATATCCATCCTCTAGATTCATTGGTTTGTTACCCATTTGGGTAATGGACGTGATTTCTGACCCATTGTCATGGGTACAAGACCAAGAAGAGGCGTGCTGCATGATATACTGTACTGTATCATTAGGGAGTTTCAAAATCAATAGCCTTACAATATCCTTGTCTGTGTCACCACAGACCCAGGATATGATGCTGATCAGATAGGACCTTTTAGCTGTTTTCCTAGTATTGTCTACAGAGGCCCAAGCTTCATAGGCAAGGCAATAGAAAAAATATTTGAAATCTTTAAAACACTTAATATTTAGTGTAATAATATGCCTGTTATAATTTAACTATTGCAAGTAGTTTTGTTTGATGTGTATTGTTTTTTATATGAAACTAAAGTAAAGCTACAGACGTTATTGTATAAAAAGTATTGTAGTTTTTTAACATTTTCATAGTTTAATTTATATAAAGCATATTTTAGCCATCACAGACTGCTGAAATATACTTAATGAGTTTTATTGAGTGCTGCAATTGAGCTTTTTTGGAATTTGTTTTCCTTGTGTGCATTTCTTAAAAGGCAAATGTTTTTTTACATGGGTATTTAAAACATTTTGACTAAAATATATCATAAAGTTGAAAAACTATTTCTTTATTACCTTCTACACTTTTTTCATAATAACATAATGGAGTCTAGGTAATGATTTTCTTGATCCATATACTGTATGAAGAACAGCCAAGTCACATCACCCTGGTATGTGCCTCTAGCTGGACTAAGACCAGTCACATGGAAAGTTCAGTGTGGTTTGACTCTTATTGAACTAATACTCACATGGGTTCACACCTGCACATTTGGAGCCACACCACAGAGTTTTGGAAATGCACTGTAAGTTGAGGTGTATATTTATATACAAATATATTTCCAACACACATAAAAATACAGCTTATATAGACAACATATACATATAAAATATAGACAACGGTGTATTTAAAATATATCTGTATATACTTTGATTATATTGGTTATAAAATTGAATATATTTTATGATTACTAATATTAGTATTAATATATGCATTCTCTGCTATTCTTTCAGTGACATTTTCTGCATGAGGCATCCTAATAATTGTATTTCAATCTGTGTCTTTCTGAAGGTCATGCAGAGGAAACCGACACCCTTTTTGCAGACAGCAATTCTTATAAATCACCTTCTGTTCACACATGCTACATACCAAGTGAACAGTAGTTTAAAACTAAAATAGACAGCTGGACAGGCTCAATGTTTATAAGCTTTCCTTTCTGGTGCTTGTGATCTAAATGTTTTGTGTTGGCCCATTGCAGCCAGATAGAGTCTTTGAAGTGGTTTACATTGCACAGATGGCATTAGCTCAGCTAAGCAACTGACTGAATGGGCTTGCTAAACACTACACTTATCAGACATTTTGCTTTAGAAATTTAATTTAATTTGCAGACTACTGTATATAATCCTATATTTCGTTTTTCAGTGTTTGGTAGAGTACTTCTTAAACATGTTACTGGTCTAAACAGAGTGAAACAAATAGTAACAAGAATGCTGATACAGCTATCCACTTGAACTAATTCTAGGTACAGTATATCATACGCTAAGATTTAAACATCTCAATCTTCTTAGCCCAGAATGGAAAACAGAAGTTAACTTTATTCATACTCATTAGTGACATTAAATATTACTGTTAAGCCTGATTTGCTCTCAATACTGAAAGGGCTCATCAGTAACTGATATGGAAAAGAACGTTTAACCCACATTAACACTTTGAATGAGTGAGAGCACAAAATGTCTTTTCCAATGTTTTATTTTGTTTTCCAAAATAATATCAGTAAGATCTCTAGATTCATTTGGATAATTGTAATGGTTTGTAATGTTTAGCAAAAGCCCATGTACAGCTGTAACTGTGTGTTTATGAATGTACATATTGTAAGGTTCTTCTTTCCTGCCATTTTATTAATTTAAACGGTTTTAATTAAAACATTTTATTCCTTTAATTAGCTAATCAACTTTAGTGTTCTCTTTCTCTTGCTCAGGAAGAGGTGTGGGCCACGGGTTCTTACTTTTATCTACTGTACCAGCCACTTAGAGTATGTAGCCAAATGATTATTAATGTGCCCGTTTATAAACACCCCTTTTTACATGCTGTAGCAGCTGTTTTAGTGGAATGCTTCATTTTTGGGTCATTTGTTTTTCTTAATTTAATTCTGCAGAAATCCATTAGAAAACGTAAGCAAAAGGGCACCCTTATCATCTTAAACATTTTTCAGTTTATTTTATGATCAGGAAATACTGTACCCTATCAATAATTACTTCTTAATTATTCATACAGTTATTCATACAGTTTTGAGATACTCATTTTGTGTCTGTATGTTTAACATTGATATTGAACTTTGTGTTCAAACTTTATTGTATGAGCTGCTGTATGCTTTTATTTAAACTAAGTTGTTGCAGTGAATACAGAATATTAATGCTGAAAAATTCATGTTTTTAAGTACATCAAATCCACCCTAAGCATAGTTTTATCTAATAGAAAAAATGTTAGTCATTTGTAAGATTGACTACTACTGTAGTTAAGCTGCAAACCTAAACAGAACTATTTCTGTTTTCTGTTACTAATGTACTTATATGCAGTACTTCCCTATAGGACTTGGTATTTAGTTTTGGACCTTGCCTTTCCATTTTATTTTTCTCTGATCTCTTAAAAAATCCAAAATGAGTAATGCAAGATGCTCCTTTACATGTGGGATTCTTTTTCATGTTTTGAAAGTTATTCTTTTAAGTGCTTGAAGAAACTCAAAGAACATTTAACTGTGTTTAAAATATATATGTATTTGTTACTCTTGCTATTTCTGAAATTATCTAGCATGTTCTACAGACTACAGCTATTTTACGTGAGCAGCACCACCCAGTTATTGCTATCTTTGCACTTCTCACAAGCTGTAACTAGCAGAATCCCCTGGTTCCTTATAAAGTCTGAACCAGTTGTCTGCCACAAAAGTGGAGTGCCATCCTCAGATAACCCCAGGGGAATTAAATACCACTGTTTACTTAGGACTGGTACATACTGTAGCTTGGCTGACATAGGTTACATTTGTTCATTCAGTATGGCATGGAAAGCAATTGAAATAATATTAGGGGTCACCTTTGCAGATGTCGTCATCCGGAGAACAAGGCTGGAGATAAACTTGGTAAAATCACAATCTCTAAAAATGTAGTAAAGCTGAGACCATAGTTACAACCATTTATTTTCATAACTTTCAGATTTATTTTTTTCATGTATTGGACAGGTCTAACTGATGCTTCCTTCTTGAAAGTAGCCAGCAATAAAAGCAGCTAATGCAAAACGAAATATTCAGTCCTAACTCAATATAAATGTCACCTTAGATTTATTTCCTGCCTGACATTTTTTTTCTTTCCTGACCGAACAATTGACCCAAGAGTTTCCCAGTTTCACATCAGAATGGCAGATTGAATTCAGCATTTGGATTGATCTGGTAGGATCAGTCAAGCTTGACAGCGTTTACCCTCTTTGACAGGTAAAACCAAATGTTTTAGCCTTTTGAGCTCCTTAAATTTGTTTGTGATTCATTTTAAATATCAGATATTATTAAAGCAGCTGTCACTTATACAGCTGAAATTGAAATATTTATCATCATATATTGTTTGTTATTTAATCTAACATTGAGGATTTTTCATTAGTTCTTATTGGCCACATAAATTAAAGGAGAGGTACAGTATGTACAGTAAGCAGAAAATGGGATTTACTACCTAACTGTAATGAGCAAGACATCAACAAAACCAATCTTATGTTAACTATTCCATATTTTCTGTAACTAACGTCAGCTAAGGGAAAATTAATTATTATAGGAGGTAAGAATATTTCAGCAAGAAGTAAGAAGTGAAATCTCAATTACAACTGTTTTTATGCACAGATACATTAAAACCATATAACAAAATTCTCACAAATTAAATTACACATTACTGAAAGAAAGTAAAATGGCCTGAGCTCTAGTTTAATCAATGAATAAATGAAGTGTGTGCCTTACTGGATGCATAATTCTGAGCATGGTTGAGTCCAGTTATTTTAAATAGCATCACAAATCCAATGTCCTTTTATAGCACTCCACTATTATCAGCAGAGGCATGAAGAAAGTGGGTGTGAGTGACACAAAGGGCACACAATAAAGCCCTTGGTCTGCTGGACTTCTTCATCCATTGAGTGCTCGAACCTCTAAACTCTCAGTTTCTCTCATCCAACTACACACCAGGAGCACCATGGCACCAAAGAAGAAAGAGAAGGAGGAACCTCCCAAGCCAGCCCCTAAGCCTCCTGAACCTGAGCTCCCAAAAGAACCAGAGTTTGAACCCCAAAGTGTGGCGGTATGTAGTGCAGCTGCTAATGATTTTTTTTATACTATTACCTACCATTGACACATCTACATTATTTGATTTATCAATATATTATTGGCATGCCTTTTTGATTATGTCTCACATAAGACTTCATTAAAAGGTCTATTGTCCTATAAAATAACCACTATAAAAAGAAGTTTGAAATACCGGTTGTTTTTTAAGCATTAAGTTTTATTAGAGCAATACAGTGGAATGTGTAAAACCAATATTTTCTTTCGAAACTCAATTCACAAGTTCAATATACACACAACTGTATTTATAGTATCTTACATATCTGTATTTAACTTGCTTTTTAAAATTCTCTCTAGAGTATCTCATCTGTATCTCATACAGATGTAGCAAAGGCAAAACAAATCCATATAGTTGTCAGAACATTTCTAAGCATTAAATAAGTAACAAAAATGAGCTTCCTTAAGTGATTATGAAACAATCACTTAAGGTTTAGAACTTTAAAGCTCCCTCCCCCAATATCTACATTTCCCTCTACAAAAATCTACATACATTATATATAAATTGCATTTCAAATTTGCAGAAAGGTGTCTGTCTATAGAGGTTTCAAATATTTACTGTACTGGTTTTTGTTTCATATATTCATAGATTTAATCTCAGCTGCCTTTTTTTGTAATTTAAGAAGCAGTCACAATGAATTATGGGAATCAATATTTATTCGCAAAATATACACCCTAAATTATGTATCATTGAAAAGAGAGCAGAAAACAGAAAGTCTTTTTAAATACACAACTTCTAGCCAGAAGGGTGAAGTTCGCAATTAAAAGCAGTCAAACAATTGCACAGCAGACCTGTACTGTACATCTCTGTATGACTGTTCAGAGTTTCAGCAAAATCAGTTAGTTCATTCTGGCAAAATTATTATTTTCTATTCATGGTTTCTTTTTATGGTCAAGCTGAGAAAATACCAAGTGTTTGATCTTTAAAAGTGTCCACATCTGACACTATGAAATACATTCAAGAAAGGCTTGGCAGTTTTTCCATATTTTCTCCTCCTGCAAAAGTTTGAACAAATGGTTTTGGGAATAACCAGATAAATTACAATGGCATGAGGCATTTAACACTTGAAATATGATGCTTATGATTTTGGTGAAGACCACCCACAATTTACTTCATTTTTTTTCCTTTATGAAAACCTGTGGCTTTATATTTTAAGCCAACAACATAATTTGAATTAAATGCTCTCATCCTGTTCTAACTGAACAAAAGAAAATGGAGTGAAAAGAAATTTTAAAATCTCTTAAAAGCTCTTTTGTGAGATTTCTGGCCATATTTTGTTCCTATATACATCATTTGTTCTTATAACTAAATTTTATTACTATATTTACTATGTCATGTTTATGGTTTTGTTTTCAAATGTTTTTCTTTTTAGCATAAAAAATTCTATTGGACTTGTTGTATGCTTTTATTTCTTTTTAAATACATTTTTAATTAATGCATTCTAAATCATTTCATACCACCTCTAAAACTATGTACTGTGAAGTGACTTTGTAAAAAAAATGATTTTACAGAAGCTCTAATACTCAGATGGTACAGTATTAAAACATTCCACATAAACATTGGTACATCTTACAATCTGATTGAGACACTTTTTTTTTGGAAGATTCCTTTATTTTTTAACATGGACAGAATGCAAAGTGTCTTCTGGATAAAGCAGATAACTGAACCAATGCAAACATTGCTGGCACCTGGACCTTCTGGTTATTATTAATGTGCATCTTGTGAGCAGTGTAATAGTATTGTGAAATGTGGCTCTATGAAGTGTCCTCACACAAGCTACTGTAAATATTGATATAAAAGAAATTATTTCACATATGACATATGGTCAGATGTATATGGTCTCTTGTCCAAGAGGAAAATAATACAGTATATAGAAACAAAAAAGACAAAATACTGAATAGCTGAACATTATAGTTCTATTAGGTGCCATTACTTATCCACTAACCATTCACTTTACTGGTGGTCATCATGCAATTTGTCATCTCTAAAAGAGGTGGAGGCATCAATAATGTACTTTTAAAGAAGGAAGCTTATTATGTTTTTAATTTTAGTATTTTAGCATTTTATGGATTAGACATGGAATTAGATTTCTGGCTTTTTCAATACTGTATATACAATATAGTTGCCAAAAAATGCTTTTAATATTGTATTTAAAAAGTGCCTACAGTATTTCTAGTATGATACATGAAATCTACATTTTTCTAGTGTGTATTTTGTATTACTTGTACATTTACTGTAAGTCTCAGTGAGTTCATTGAAAAATATTAATGACAAGATAAATTTATTTTTTATTTTATTTTTTTATGAGTGTTACGACCCCAAGTGTCTAGGGGGAAAGGGGTGTTTCATTTAGGATAATTCTTTTGGAAGCAGGTGGGTTTTGGTGAGGGACTAGGAAGCGTGATAACAAGGGTAAGGAACTAGAGTGGTGCCAAAGAAAAGAAAATAACAAACAAAATGGAGCTGGCTAGGACAGTGAGGGAAAGCTAATCTGACTACAAAAGAAAAGTAGAAACACACGGTCTTAGGCGTCTTCAACACCCTAGCTAACCTGCACTGACTACCCAAAACCACACAAGACAAATGGCACTCACCCGTACTAAACCTTATATACAAAAGTTCACACAAAAACACAAATGAACCAGGAATAGAAATAAGGGAAAACAAGAGTAATCACCAGGAGCAGGGTACAAAAGAACACAAAAGTTGAACATGTAACACTGGGGCAAGGTAATGACAAAACAAAGATGAACACACAAACAAAAGTACAAAGAAACTAACATAAACCAACAAAACAACAAAGCCGAAGCTATATGAAAATACACACACACACATAGCAAAACAAACCAACAAACAAAGCCAAAGCTATAACCAGAAGCGAAGCAAAGCAATAACCAAAACCAAACGGGACCGAAGTCAAACAAAAGGCCTTTTCTTCCTGAAAGCCTCCATGTTATATAGTGAATAAAATGAGTTCTGATTGGCTGAGGGCTGATTGATGATGACATCATATTGAAACAGTGGTGTGATGGTTGGCCAATGGGGAAGGGAGAACAATCAAGGGTCAGCAGTGTGGAACATAGAAAAAAACACACACAGAACACACACTGGGACGTAACAATGAGGAATCCTAATAATTAACAAATGTTTGTTTATATATACTGTAGGAAGTGTGGCAAATTGGTGCAGTGGTTAGCATTGCAGCCTTGCAGCACTAGGGCCTGGGTTACTTTCCTGGGGTACTATCTGCATGGAATTTGTATGTTTTCCACATGTTCATGTGGGTTTCTTCCGAATCCACCGGTTTCCTTCCACAGTCCATAGAGATAATGGTATGTAAATCTGCTTCTAGAAAAACTGTCCCTGGTAAGTGTGTGGGTAGTTTTGCCTGTTTGCCTTGCAATGGACTGGCATTCTATCCAGGGTGTATCCTGCCTTTAGCCCAGGATAGTCCAGGATAGGCTCCAGCTCCCCAGCAACTCTGTAATGGATAAAGCAGTTAGGAAATGGATGGATGGTTATATACTGTAAGACCTAAGCAAATGAGTATGTCATGACAAAGGCTTGTGAATGCTAAAAGTAGATATGTTCTAATTAAAAAAAATGTATTCGAGATTCACCCCATCTTAATTGTTTTATCAATAAAAGAAAATCAGAACTGCAAAATTAAAGCTTGTTAAAATACACTAAAGCTTATGAATTTGTATTATTGCATTCGAGCTTACATACAGTTATTATTCAATATTCTGTGACATTGTTGTACAGACATTTGAATTACCCACGTAAATAAAAATCAACAGGTGTATAGCACAAGAAGGTTATTCTACTGAATGTCAGGTGTAAATCACAGAACCATTTAACATCATTAGCAACACAAAGTACAAAGATTGTACTGAATGTGCAGTGTATAGAGCCTCAGGAATCTTAATATTTGCTGTAAATAAGAGCAACAACACTTGAAACTTCAAAAACTCTGTTTAAAGTTAAGAGATTTTAATGTGGTAGCATTCAAGATCACCTTTGCATACAGGTTCTCTGACACAAAAATGAATTTTGAGAATGGATTATTGTCACGATTATAGGCCCTCCTCCTTAAGGGTGCTCCAGCCCTTTCACTTCAGACTTAATTATGTGCATCTGACCCCTTTTCCCATCCCACCTTAAAAACCAGGCACTGACGTTCATTCTGTCTCTGCATCTGGTTTCCGCACAGTGCGAGTCCGGGACCTGAAAGCGCCTGGTCCCGTTAAGGTTTTAACCTCTGTTCCTGGTCCTTGTCCACCGGTTCCGACCCGGTTTGTGTTTTTAATTCCCTGTTTGGAGGGATCACCTGGCTATGGACTTTCCTGCGTTTTTGGATTCCCTCTATAGATTACTTTTGGATTGTTTGCCTCGGCCACACCTCCCCCGTGCACCAGCGCACTTTGGACACGCCCCCCCTGTTTTCAGCCCCGTATTCCTACATGACTTTTTCCTAGTGTTTCCCCACTTCTTCAGATTGTGTTGTCCGCATAGGGTCCAGAAAGAACTGTTCTTTACATTATTAAGTATGTTCCTAGACCCATACCACAAAAAAGTGGACTGAAAGAAAAATTGGTTATTATGTACTGTATGTACCTGAAAAGTTTTAATAGTTTTTCACACATTAAACCTGTAGGCACAAATTATTCATTGTAATAGGTTACAGGAATAACACCCGGTTTTCTTATCCACATCTTCTGATCACTGACGTAGGTTACTATGTAAACCATAATTCTAACCCTTTTGTAAGCATAACCCAAACATTTCTTCAGATGATCATGTGGAAACTGAGATGAAGAATTGTGTTCAGCATTTCTCTTTTCAGATTTGAGCTGAGTAATGTGATATTTTGATACACCATTTGGAAAGCTGAATACTTTTTCGGTGCTTTAATAGCAGAGCTGCAAAATTGTTTTTTTATATGTGAAAGAACTTTCTTTAGATTCTACCTTACTGAAAAGCAATATGTCACGTAATTTCTAATTTCAAATTTTAGCCTAATCTACTACATCCTGTTGTTCATATAAAGAAAAAATAACTCCAGCTGATAAGCAAAGATTATGGGACTAATTTAGTAAATGGTGGTAATGTATTTTGTACCTGGCAACCACTTAAAATGACATGTTGAGAACACCTCCAAGCAGCTGCACTGCTAGTCTATCATGCAGAACACTAACCTCATGCAGTCCACATTCAAGACCTCTATTTATTCTTTAATGTTAAGGACTGCTGTCCTTAGAAGAATAGTAAGACTAAGAAACACTGAAACAAGGTGACAAAATTATTGGTTTATGTGGAAAAGATAGAAGTGGTACTATGTTACAAAACAAGGAGAAGAGGACCATTGGATAACACAATGTGCATCATTGCCATTGTTTTGAATTTTATTTTTGCCTTTAGCTCATATATTATGGCTAATGCATTATGTATATTAAAGACAAAACCAATGGGTAATATTTATACTCTATATTGATTAAGTGAATCTTAGTTCTTAATCTTAATCTACTGTATAGTTCACAAACATAAAAATGAAGGGGAAGAGAGTGCGATAAATTATGAGAAGTTAATTAACACAGAATAAGCATTGAGGTGTACTGAATATTACAATGAAAATTGACACAGATTCCATTAATTAAGCTATGTTTTGCAAAACCTTTCTGAAATATAAACATTGATTATTTTAAGTTTGTTAAAAAGATTATAGGGAAACAAAACTTTAAACAGAAATAATTGGATTTATGAACACTGATCCAAGATATACTGTAAATATATCATTAACAATTATATTCCCTGCTTTGTGCTGTAGACGAATTATTATCTTTGGAATGCTGTTTAGGTTCATTAATTGTGAATCATGTTATTTTACATTAATGAACTGTTATTAATTCCTATCATAAACTATTCTTGGAGTGGTAACAGTGCTTAATTTAGTGAACAAACACAATATGATATGGAAAGCAAATTTACTAAGCAAACATGTATCATAAGTATATGGTACTTTTGGTTTTATATTGAGTTTTTGTTTTTTGCCATTTCATTTTTAAACATTTATTTTTTACATGTCAGTGATTTTCAGTACTTTTACTCTTAATGTATTCTAATTATACATTTTCTGTCCCTTCCCATTTTGTCTGTACCCACCCTTAAATTTCTCCTTAATGTAATGTGTCTAAGAAACATTTTCAACTTCTCAAAGCCTTGCTTTGTAGCATAGTAGTTCCCATTGGAAAGGATACACATTAAAATATTTTCATATTTGTTAAAATATATACCATATAGAATTGACCATATTTGTAAAACTTAGTGGGGCACTATGTCCATGTGCCTTTGTCAGAAATCTCACTTATTATGCTTGCAAAAAAACGTTTACATCATTTTCTTTACTGTGTGTTTCTTTGTTTTGAAATTATACAGCTTTTTTAAAAAATCAATTTTTTAAAAAAAGTGCATGGCCTATACACTGTTTAACAGAAGTTAATTTTTACAACCTTAATTTGTGCTTCTTTCAGATCGAATTTACACCTGAACAAATTGAAGGTAAGTTAATTTTTAAACTGAATATTTTCTATTACATTCTTTAATTTCTAAAAGTCTGGGAACATTCCTATTTTCAGAGAAGCTATTTTAAAATAACAGAAAATAATTTACAAGAAAATTTTCAAGGAAAAAAGTTTCAATAATGAAGGCAACTATTTAACTACACATTATGCTTAGTGTCTTCAGTGTGTTTTTTTTCTCTTGTGACATTTTTTCATAATGAAAGCAACCTTCTTCTTCACCTTTGTGCCTTAACTCATGATACTGTATACTGTATATCACATTGTTAATCCTTGTGAAGTGATATATATATATATTGTTAAGGTAATTGCTATTGCTAAGGATTTCATATATACTGTATATTGTTAAGGAAGTATCATGATAATATTCTTTTCAGCAGAACAGACATGGAAGTTGTGTACTTTATTTGCAAATGTGATATTTTTAATAATCTTAACTGATAACAAACATCCTTAGAGTTTGCATAATATATTGCATGTACAGTGTATATGAATTGGACAAAATGGTTGTGGTCATTTATCACAGAGTTTGCAATGTTGTGCTGGGACTTGCTGATTTTATTTGACATCTGAATTATGTGGCATTACATAGCATAGAATGAAAAAAGCCAAAGTAATCTAAACGCTGTGGCTCATTTCAAAGAGTATGTGCTTCCCTTTTGTGCTGTTTGTGAAAGATTTTAAAGAAGATATTGACACAGTTAAATACTGTAAATGGCTGTTTCTATATATGATTAACAACTTGTAAACATGCCTAATGCCAACACCTGCAAATAGATTTTCTATAGCATATGATATTTAATGAGAGTTGAATGTTCTGAATGAGGAAGAAGTGAATGCTGTATACCAGAGATTGTCATAAGAAAATAGAAACACCTGCAGGTTTGCTTAATTTATGTAGAACTACAGATCTTGTCAAATTTTGCACTGGTAGGCCAATTAAGGAGCACATACTGTAGCTTTACATAGAGTATATTATGGCAAAACATAATATTCTACAGTACTGTATGTAAAATTTACTATTTAGCATTGATGACAGGAAAATTATATTATTTCCATGTAATATATCATATTTACCATATTTCTCCATGAAATGTGTGTTTCTAATATAGATTTTTGAGATTCAGAGAAAATCAGAATATTTAATTTATCAAATATACACAACAAACAACACTTACACAGCAGATGAACGTGAATACTGGAATTTCTTTAACTTTAAAAATGCTTTTCTCCAGAAAACAGGGCATTAAGGATCAATATTAAGGTGAATCTAATGGTATTGTATCAATTCTTCAGCATTTGATAAGATATTTACAGCTCTGTAAAGACACAAATACCTTACATTTTACAAATAAAAAGTCTAAGACAAACCCTGTAAGTACGAAATGTGTTTTACAACTTCAACAGTAATAAGAATCACATCAGAAGAATCAAGAATTGTAACAGGCCTTACAGCCTATGATGTATATTTATTACTAAAGTAGAAATGAATGCTAAAATTGTTATGCTCCTTAAAGGTGTAAAGGATACCAACTGTATCCAAGGGCCTTGGAAGTCTATTTTCAGTGATAATTGTTCTTTGAATAATAAAAAGGCAGTGCAAATACCAAATCTGTCTGACAGATATAACATAAAAGACCTTATATACTGTACAGTATAAGTACGCAGGTATAATGTTATCATTATTGGGAAAATAGCAAATGAATATGCTACTCATAAATTTGATTCACAGACAATTTGTGCTTTCATGTTAAATCATCCTGTAATTTTAATGATAATTCTGGCATCAATGTGCCACAACTTCAGAACAGAACTGGACCTGTCAGACAGATGCTATCATCAGGACACAAAACATACAAATTAGTGACAAAACAGTTAAAAGATGTCTGATATACTTTAAGACAGTATTGACTTGAACATCTGCATTGGGCATCAACATTATGGACAGTCTTGGTCACAGACAAAAGGGAGATGCCATTAACTGGGTTTAATTTGGGCATTGCTGATGGTAGATTCCTTGTGTACCAATTTCAGGGTAAACAGTTTGCAATTTGTTCAACAGCACTGCTTTGTTGCAGGAAGAATGATCAAGGGTACTATTAATGTTATGTTATAGGCAGAACTTATAATGTAGGGTATGCTTATTGTCTAATATTATTTGGATAACATCTTGTGACCAGTCTTTTTTCCACAGTTTGGTCAACAATACAGACACAGACAGCTTATTTTCCAAAAACATGTTCTCGCCCTTACAGACAATTACACAGTCATCTTTTTTTTCTGCACCATAGTGAGAAGAAGTTACAAGTAAATCCATGTGAGGCTTTTAATTTACTGTATCAATTATACATTAAAACAGTAAATTGCGAGAGTGCATTGATAAATGTTAGGGATCCAACTTACCCAATAATTTAGAGTCTCACACATGGATTCGAAATATTCAATTTATTGATGTTACACTGAAACATGCTTAACAAAACCACACATGAAACATAATATATACAGTACAACAGACTGTTCACTTAGAGATTACAAAGATCAGATCTAACTTCATAGTTAAAGTATATCAACTATAAAGTGCTATCTCTTAGGTTTTATCAGTCTCATACAGATGCAGCCATTCAAAATGGGTGGGGTATTTTTGGGGTATTTCAAATACTATTGAGGAAATTCCACACACCAAATGTCAATGGAATACTGTTTGCACTGTCAGAGTCTGTTGTACAGATGCAGCCATTCAAAATGGGTGGGGTATTTCGCAGTATACCCCGGTGGGCGTGTCGCAGTATCACACAGTATCACGGGGTTAATCGCGTCATTTGACGTCATACCGGAAAGTATCCGGCATCACCTTGTAAAACCGCCAGGAGGAGCCAATAAAGCTTAACCTCTCATGTACAGCATTTGAGCTTTAAAATTTAAACTGTGTATTACAGCATGTTAATCATCAGTCACTAAAAAGTTGGTATATTTTATGAAAGCAAGATTGCTCAGTTGGACAAAAATACACAACCTACCTTTATCAAAAATATTTTTGCATCAAAGCCTTTGCCGAAGATATTACTAATAGTATTAATAATGAATGACTTTGGGCAAGCTGTAAACTCAAAGTATAATTTCTTTAGCACATTTGTACAAGCACTTGGAATCTGTCCAAGCCCCACTTTGTCAGGCATTTTCTTTTACTGCAATGGACATAAAAACTCCCTTGCTTTTAACAGAGCGTTTAATAATTTCTAACTACGAAAATTATTTAAACTGCGACACTTATCATTCAACCAGAGCTCAGAATATCACAAGGATCCTCAAGAGCACAGCAAAGACTGTATTAAAAGATACACTTGTATCAGATACAGGAGAATCCAGGCTTTTTTATCAACGCTTTCTTTTCCGTATACCAGATATTATGGAACCACTTCAGAAGGGTGTCAGCCAGTCAGATTCCAGGAATCGGTACTTTAAAGAAAAAATACACACCGGTATTTCATTTCTCCCTAAACATTTTAAGCATCGAAGTCTTTAACTAACATATGAAATAGCATGTAAAAAAGTGGTAGTTTTAAGCTTTTCTGCTAATACAATATGGAATCGCGTATCTAAAGAAATTAATAATGATATGATTATATTCGTGTACTGCTACGTTTCGTTGAAAAAATGGAATAGCAATATTATGGACAATTAATTGACTTTTATTTTTTTAAATATCACAACATGATAGAATTTAAGTCATTTTAATAACAATGAATAGTCACCTATGCGTTACAATATAAACATTTATATTGATTTAAATCACGTTTTGATTTAAATCGCAAACGCGTGTTTAAATATATGTGTTTTTTATTCACAATCAGACAAATGCAACATAAATTGCTATCTTTATCTTCTGAGTATCTTAATAAACTTTCAGCATAGCTTTCTCCCTGTTTAGATTTATTTTTCTTGGGATCTTGGGATCAAACGTGGAAAGATTAGATTGTAATCGATTTTATTTTTTAAATACATTTTAGAAAAGTGTAATCTATACTAAAAAAGCTGTACACTACCTGCTATAAAGATACATATTGTAATACTTTCAGGCTCGGATAGGACAGACACAAGAACTCAGACTTGCGGAGTTAAATCTAAATTATTCGTATAAAATAAATTTTAGCAAACTCATGTATTTTAAAAATCTTAAGATTTCTATATTTATGTCTTTATTTAGTGGTTTAATTAGTGACAAAGGTTAAACTTTCTTGGAAAAATGTATTTTATGTAAACCATGTAAACTATTAATTAATTTAGGGCTAGAATATGTTCATTGTCTTCCAATGAAAGAAGGGTTCCTTTCGCCGTAGTCGAGTTGACATTAGAAGCTTGCCACTCCCGGACTGTTACACCAACGCATTAATGTTAAAGCAATTTCATTGAGGAGCCTAGCTTTCTTAACTAGTAAGTACTGTACTTTTGGAGGGGGGAGGTGTCTTTCGCTGGAAATCTTGCCCCCTTCTACTTTGAAAATACCTGTGAAACCGTTTTAATTTGTCACAGCCAGCACTCCCGCAGAGAGGGGGGCTGTACTCGTTAATGTCTAAGCCGGAACACATCATTATATCTCATTTTGTATTTCTATAAAAAAAATCGTTTGCCTAGCCTAACACTATTGTTGTTATTGTTTTTATCCTGTAAAGCACTTTAAGGAGCACAGCTTTCTCACCACTTAGATTACTTTTTGATACCATCCTTACACAAAGCAGAAACTTTTTGTATTTTCCAATGACATACAAGTGGAAAGATTACAGATTTTAATTGTCTTTTTTCTGAACCAGGGAAAATCTGATCATGTTTCTCTATAACAATAATAAAAAAACTTCATTTTACATATCACCTTTAAAAGTGGCATCTCAAAGCAATACAGTAGATGTAAACCACAGATTACAAAGTAAATACCCAGACAAACGCAAACACGTTTTTAATAAAATGCTTTTATTCATTCAGCAG